GTGCACTTTCTGGTTTTGCCGAGGTGGTGGGCATGGAACAAGACAAAGCAGAATGGTAATAGTTCTTTTCTCTAGTACTTCATTATAAAATAGATATGGATGCTGAAGTGAGTGAACTTAAATGTGAATGTAATTTGTATTTTTTCTGTAGTCGTCTTCTATGCTGTTATTGATGCCTCAATCTGTTATTGTCCGTGTTTATTTTATTATTTTTTCAAAACAAGAATGTTTCTCTTTCTTTTAAATTAGGAGTAACAACACTAGGTGAGATAAGATTAGAAATGGGAATATTAGAGAGTGTTGGATAGAGCTTATAGTAGAAAAGATGGTGGAAAATAAGCTTAGGTGATTTGAGCTTGTAGATAGATGACTCGTAAATTCTGTTGTAAGAACAAGAAGAGTAGATTAGATGGAGAGGGAGTCAAACAACTAGAGGTAGAGAAAAACCTAGAAAAACTATAAGAGAAACTATTAAGAAAGATCTCAAAATTAACTAATTGGATAGAAACATGGTCTTTGATAGAACATTATGACAGAATTTGATCCATGTAGCCGACCCCACTTAGTGGGACAAGGTTTGGTTGTTGTTTGTTGTTGTTGTTGTTTTACGTATTCTTATTCATGTACTATATACAGTAGTATTGTCCTGAAATCTTTGCACAATGATAATAAACCAATTTATATCTCCTTCCATATTTATTATACTTGTTACCAGGGGATTTAAAGCTCTGAAGCAAACTGTCAAGCTTTATTATAGACTTGGAAGGTATAAAGAGATGATGGAAGCCTACAGGGAGATGTTGACATATATCAAATCAGCAGTGACCCGTAACTATAGTGAAAAATGCATAAACAGCATTATGGACTATGTGTCTGGTTCAGCTAGCCAAAATTTTGGCCTTCTGCAGGAGTTCTACCAAACAACTCTTAGAGCTCTTGAAGAAGCAAAGAATGAGGTTAATCCATTTTGTCATTATCTTCTACTCATGGTTTCTCCTATTATTGTGGTTATGTGTTCATTTTTTGCAACTCATATTTGCAGAGATTGTGGTTTAAGACAAATTTGAAGCTTTGTAAGATCTTCTTTGACATTGGGGAGTATGGACGGATGAGTAAGGTAAGTGGGGGGAAATGGTGTATCTTACTTTTGAACTCGAGTTAAATGACTCTTTGTATCTATTAGTATCTACTAGTATTAAATAGATAATGATTTGTTGTACTCTGTCAGATCCTCAAGGAACTTCACAAATCTTGTCAAAGAGAGGATGGTACAGATGACCATAAGAAAGGAACTCAACTTTTGGAGGTTTATGCAATTGAAATTCAAATGTACACAGAGACCAAGAACAACAAAAAACTCAAGGTTGGCATTTGCTATAGAAAATAATTTTTCATGTCACTTGCATAAGTAATGTTTTTCCTTTCCAGTTTATTAGTGACTTTTTACAATTCAGCTTTTGATCATTTACATGGTGTTTCATATTGTTAGTGGATAAGCATGATTTCTCAGTGCATCTCTTAGAGTTAGTTTCATTTTCTAAGTACCGTTTATTTCTAGAAAAATGGAGTTTTCTTAAAGCTCATTGACAAATAAGTACTTTGCCTGTATTTGAGGTTATGATTTACACAGTTTTTGTATATCCACTTCTTTTATTGGAAGATAGAAAATAGTGTAGAAATTTTAGATTGACGAAGATATAAATATTTCCCCACTAATGTATTTTCTTTTGGTTCATCTTTGAAAAGAAGGGGGATGCTATTATGCATGCTAATTTCATTAGATACGAAAACACATCGAACCAAGCTCATATTCTTATGTGAAAACAAGACTGTTGGTGTGATTATATAGTAGTGCATGCATCTGATCTATATGACCTTTTGAATATTTTTATTGATTGGTTGATTTGTCTAATGCTCAGGGAACTTTGTTCACCAGAATTTGTCAATGTTTGTGATATTTGTTAGAATATCTATAAATACTTCATAATAATGTCATTACTGTACGAGTATTTCAGATCACTCTAGATGATTACTTGGAAATATTTCCATATTTTAGGGTTTAGGGTTTAGTGCCTATGAAACACATACACCTGAAACACGACACATTGACACCAATAATGATTTGAAAAATGAATAAATTAAACGTAATCGCAAGTGTCAGGGTCAGTTTCAAATACTGACACGGACACACCTTTTTTCAGAGGTGTCGGTGCCATATAGATTAGTGCTCATCTGAGTCATATTTATACTATTTTTGTAGTTGTACTCATAATAAGCTTAAACCTTACTAAGCTTTAGGCTTAAAGGGAAGTGTTTGAATTTCATGAAAATGTATCATAAGATCATAATTATATCTTAAAACATTTTAAACTATCTTAGATGGTTTCATCAGAATGTTTCCACTTTTATTATTTTATTGTATTTCATGACTTGTTTTCTTAATTAGGACGGGGGAATCTACAACCTCCATCCCTAAATATAGGACCCATTTGGCAAAATCACAAGAATTAAGAAAGTTGGAAGTGGTATTAAATTTGTTTGCAATTGACATCGTTTTTCGAAGTTTGTCCTTTGCGAGAGAGTTAGATTATGTTTTCATGATAGTATTGATTGCAAAAACTAATGTTAAATAAATAGGTGTATAAAATGGAACAATTTTTATTCCAAGAGGGTCTTATATTTAGAGACGGGGGTTGTAGTAATTATATCAAAGGGGTTGTGATGCTTTTTCTTTTGTAAGACATCACTCACCAAATGTAAATAAATTTTACTGTTTCATTTCCCCTCCCTTTCTACCAAAAACCTTATAATTTCAACTATATTAAATGCAGCAACTTTACCAGAAAGCACTTACTATTAAGTCTGCAATTCCCCATCCAAGGATAATGGGGATCATCCATGAATGTGGGGGTAAAATGCATATGGCTGAGCGCCAGTGGGCCGAGGCAGCTACAGATTTCTTTGAAGCATTTAAGAATTATGATGAAGCTGGGAATCAGAGGCGTATCCAATGCTTGAAGTAAGCAACCCAATTTTCTTTTAGCTTTTGTTACCGTACATTTCAATTGTTCAATAATTTTTATAATGACATCTCATTTTACATTGGTATTTCCCAAAAATATGATTAAATGTGAATTGCCATTTTTAGTGATAATTTCCAAAAGATAGATGTCATTTTTATCTTATAACTGCATAATATGTGGATTATCAATATCAATTTTAATGATAACTTTTATTAAGATTGCTATACTTATCTTTTAACTACCTATTGCTTTCCTTAGATTACAGCTATGCTTGACTACGTCAAAATAAATCATTCAACCATTTTTTGTATTTTACATCATCAACCATAATTGTTAATTTGTTGCTGTGTATTAGGTACCTTGTTCTTGCCAACATGTTGATGGAGTCCGAAGTAAATCCATTTGATGGGCAGGAAGCTAAGCCGTAAGCCCTTTGATTTTTATTCATCTGTACTCCACTTTTTGGTTAACTCATTCCTTGATTTAGTCCCTTTAAGTTGAGGATGGTTCTCTCTCTTTTTCTTGTTTTTACCCAACATATTATTTGTTGCAGATACAAGAATGACCCTGAAATATTGGCAATGACAAATCTGATAGCAGCCTATCAACGAAATGAAATATTGGAATTTGAGAAAATCCTGAAGGTACTTTTATTGAGTAGCATGATAGTGTGTTTCCTCCAGTTTTACCTCAACATATTTATCTTATTTTTCTACACAATATTTGTTGGAATTGGATATTGGATATTTTTCTTTCCAGAGTAACAGACGAACCATCATGGATGATCCATTTATCAGAAATTACATTGAGGATTTGCTAAAGAATATCAGAACACAGGTCCTGCTGAAACTCATCAAACCATATACAAGAATCAGGATCCCATTTATATCCAAGGTAGATAGCACTTACAGCAGTACTACTCCATAATGCCTTTCAATTTCAATTCTCAGCTAACCCTTGCCCCAGTCCATCAAACAAATTAATGGAGAATAATAGTCAAATATACTTTTTTCTATAAAAATTATCCACTTATGATTTGACAGCTATTCCCTAAGGTATCTGGTTTAAGGGTTGATAGTGTGTTGGTTAAGAGCCTGCTGCTCATTGTGAATAAAAAGAGCCAAGCATTTTTCTTTTGTTGGTTAAGATCCTGCTGCTCATTACTTGTTTTTCCTTTTTCCTAAATACCTTGTAATGATGGTTAAGGTTGAATTGCTTTTTCCTTTTCCTTTCATTAGTAGTAATATTTGTTTATTGAGTTGAATTTGTGAGGCACATGAATTTTGATTAATCTACTACTTTGTGCACTAAAACAATTAATTTGCAGGAACTTAATGTACCCGAGCATGATGTTGAGCAGCTACTGGTGTCGCTTATTTTGGATAACAGAATTCAAGGACACATTGATCAAGTGAACCGGCTCTTGGAACGCTCTGATAAGTAAGTTTATGTGTTTTAGTTCCTCTCAACTGGACTTGGTCCCTAAATTATTGTGTATTTAAAACCTGTTATTTTATTAATGTTAAAAAAACAACTTTCAGGTCGAAAGGAATGAAGAAGTATACGGCTGTGGACAAATGGAATACCCAACTTAAATCTCTTTATCAAACTATCAACAACAGAGTTGGTTAAATCATAGTGCGGGTGTAAGGATTATCTGTTTTGGTGCCCTGGCTTGAAGTTTTGTCATGTGAATTATTATACCCTAGGCTGTATGTGGAGTTAGGGGTGTATTACTCCGGTGGAACAAAGTGAAAAGTGAAAACCCAACTTGCAATTCTTGTTTTACTTCATGAAAATATAATCATTTGAAATTGATGACTGATCATGATTATCATTTATTCCTTCTTTCTGTTATTCTTTCCTATTAAGAGATTCATAATTTCCAGCTTAGGTGGATCGATTTGAATTTCAAATTTAGGGGTCTGCATACTATTTTCTCATGTCTCTGTACATTTCTGAGTTCTAGTAAATATTATGAGAAATAATTCATATTCAGTTCAGGTTGTTCAATTGGTACCGGAGCCATTTTGGTTGGACCTTTTTTCTCTTTTGTTTAGGGTTTTAGCTGTTTTGGGCACTTGCCTACTGTCAATATTGTGTAGTGTCCAAAGTAGCAGCACTATTCACCTCAAAAGCATCTTACAGGCCGTGCATGAACTGCCACAAGACCCTGTTGCATGCGAGGTAAGTGACCTCATTCCGACCCCATCAACAACCTTTGTTGGAAATATACACATGCTTATTACCACCTGGTCACAATTGATTGTAGGTGAGTCTTGATATGCCATGGTTTGGCTTATGGGTTTGTCCGCGTGCGTATCCCTTCTGAATCTCGTTATGCTTGAATTGTTTTTTGTGCTTTTTGTCATTCCTTTTTAGTTTCTCTAATCGTTGAGCAGGCTAAAGTCATTTAGTTTAATCTCTCTCGTTTTTTTAGGTCCCCCAAAAGTTAATTATTGGTTCTAATTTTTAGATGACAAACTTTCTCTTCTGCCTAAAATACCTTACAATGTTAGTCCTCCTGTCCACGGGTTCAAGACACGCCCTTGGTATTGGTCAAATCGCCTCCTCCATTCTTATCTTTAAATTTGTTTTTTATTTGGGTATTTCTATTTTGATAAGCTAACTTACTCATACTCTAAATTCTTCCACAATGTTTAGTTATTGCTTTCTCAAAAGCTTTACCCTCTACCAACCTTAATTTAATTTGTTTCTTCTGCTTGTGTATAACTGCCACTAAAATTAAATTTTGATAAGCCATTCGTTCACTCTAAATTGTGCATTGCATAACATTTACCAGTTTCTTCTACTGAAATACTTGATAAATCATCAGAGTTGGATCTAATTCATGACCCAAGAGGTATCTACTATCGTCAATCCATGCATCCGTTATACTCGGCAAGTATCTTTCTTATACGGGTTAAGATTCTCACTTTTAAAGAGAAATAAGAGTGAGAACTTGAGAACAAATGTGAGAATAAGTGGAGAGCCATTCCCTTCCTTGCCATCTTGAATGTGTATGGTTATTTCAACAATGAAATTGATCTGACCTGATCAGAAATGGACCGTCACGGCTGGCTCTGAGCAGAAAGCTTTTTGAACGAAGTGGGGGGGGGGGGGGGGGGGGTACCTGCAAGGCACTCCGATGCTGAAGTAAGTAGGAGTACGAGCAGATAATAGCAAGTGTAAGGTTAGAATGATGAATACCTGACCCTTTGGAAGCAGAGGGTATTTATAGCCCCCAGCGCTGGGCCAAGGTTCCTTCATTGGGCCGGGCAGGTTTGGCCCAATGGAGGAACTGCCAGGTTCTACGTGCGTAGTGGGGACCCGCACGTGGTCTCCTTCCTGGATGTTCTGCGTGAAGTGCGGGCGGACGGAGACGCGGTCTTTTCGGAGTATCGTTGGGGGAATAGTGGACTGAGTCTGCCCTAGCTGGGGTGCTCGAGGTAACGTCGAGCTGGACCTCAGACTGTGGTGCTGGACCACCTCATGTCGAGCTGGAGGCGTATCGTCGAGCCAGCGACTGCGCGTCGGGCACAGTCTCACTCTTTGGTCGGCATGGCCCTTGTAAGTCCATTTGGACTGGGCCTTTGCAATGCCTTTGGGCCTGTCGGGCCCAGTCCAGAACAGGAGCCCCCCAAGTCGTGGTTCCTTTGTGAGGAGCCATGGCTTGAACTCAGGTCGCTTCCTCATCGAGGTCTCGTGCCCGGGACAGAGGTGTGGGCCCTCGAGGGCCTCCTCGTGTCGTGCTCGGAGACATCTTCCGCGGTGGATGCCTGGAGGATCCTTACCGGGCGCGTCTGTCGAGCATACGAGGTATCTTTCGGGAACTGTGCCGCCATCCTATGGGGATAGGGTCATCATTGCGTTGGGAGCGGCGCGTCGAGGAGAGGGAGTCCGTGGTTGCCCGAGGTGACGTTTGGTATTCCACGTCATCACTATAAATAGGAACCTTGGGCCCCATAACACGTTTCTACCCTCTGTGCTTTCTCTGCTGCTGCTCTTCCAGATCTTCTCCAGTTGCGACTTTCTGTCACAGATTCTTCTACTCCGTAGCCAAATCCTGCTTTTTGATTCAAGTAAGTGGTTTATCTTCTTCATTTTCTTGTTAAGATGCATGATTTTTGGCGTTTGTAGATGTTTTAGGGGCTGTGCGCGTGGGATTAGCCCGGTAAACTCATACTTAGCCCGACATATTCATGCCTAGGACCGGCAAACGCATGTTTGTGGTCGGCATATTCATAGTTTTAGGTGATAAACTTCAGCGCTGCCCGGGGTCTTCATGATCCAGGGCGCCTGATTCATGATCGCGTCCGGTATGTTCATGGTCTTGGCCGTGGGCCTCATGGTGTGGCTCGCCATGTTCGTACCTTGGGTCGACATGTTGGAGAGTGACCGCGTAGTTGGTTTGAGGAAGAGCACATCGAGTTTCAGGATGTCGGGGAGGCAACCATTCGTGGAAACGGACTATGTGGTCGTGAATGGGACGTCGTGATTTGTCGAGCGTATGGCTTCGTGCCCAATTGACTGGTTTTCCGTGCTCTGCAGGTAACCATGGTGGACGAGCCGAGCTCTTCCGGGCGCCACGATCGTGAAGAACAAAGCGCCAACGAGTCGGTCAACCTGATTGATACTGTGACCGACCCTTCGCTGGATTGGATGGGCGTCGAGCCTCGAGGGATCGCGTCGATCTACAGCCGAGACGACCGAAATCCGTACGCTGTCATCGAGGCGGGCCAGGGCCAGCCCGACTTCCAAAGGAACTTCGTAGTCATGCGCCCGTCATCCCGTTCAAGGATCTGCTCGGTTTATCCGGAATATAGCTTTGCGATGTACGAGATCGCGTTCAAAGACCTAGGGCTGCGGCTGCCCTTCACTTATTTCCAGGTCGGGGTCTTCACTCACCTGGAGTTGGCCCCGTCCCAGCTACATCCAAATTCGCTCGCCTTCATCCGGGCGTTTGAGCTGACGTGTCGCTATCTGAGGATCGGGGCGACCATACCGCTCTTCTTCCAGATTTTTCATCTGTAGCGCCAGTCTCGAGGCGGGAAACATAGCTGGGTCTCCTTGAAGCAGTCGAGGAGACTCTTCAAAATGTATATGGACTCCGTACGGGGTTTTAAAGACAAGTGGTACGTTGTGCGGCCAGTTACCACCTCGGCTTTAGGAACCCTGTACGAGGAGGAGGAGGCTCTAAGCGATGAAGACGGGGAGGCGGTTTTGGGCGACGATGGGAGTCCCGTGATGGCACGTACGGCTAAGTTCCCTGTGCACTGGCTATCCAGGCACTACGAGCATGGGACTGGTTACTACCACACTGCTGCCGGGGACATGTGCTCGGAGGACGAGGAGGCGTACGCCGCCCTTTGTCGGTTTGTCGATAGCTTCCATCCTGCCCGGTGGGCTACGAGGGAAGGGGACGACATCCTGGACGCAGAGGGTTACCCAACGTTTGAGTCCCGGCCGATCGACACCAAGGCACTCGTGGAGTGCGAGACGTATAGGCAGGCTGCCCGTCTGCTAGGTCGTTTATTGCTTGAATTTCTTTGCTCGTCATTTATCTATGAGTTTGCTCGATACTGACCCAACTTTTATTTTGTGCAGGTTCGATGGCTGGTCGTCATGAAAGGCTTTTGAAATTATCTTGCGACCAGAAGCGAGGCAGGAGGGTCGTGAAGGCCCCACAGGCGACGAGGATGGGCCCACCACACAGTCCAAGTGCTCCTCAGCCGGTGAGGGTGGACTCGCCGTCAAGCTCGGGGGCCGCGTCGGATGGGACCCCAGAAGTTGAAGAGGTCGACCCTAGTGCCGTCCTGATACAGAGGAAGAGGACCCGTGTGGAAAGTGGTCCGACTGTTGGCGAGGACGCCAGTGCCGTTAAATCTTTCGCCTTCCCCCCTTGCTTCGAAGAGGCGGGCTTCTTCGAGAGATTCCCTCTGACAGTGGTTGTCGACGAGGCTGCAGCTATAAGAAAGATGAGTAAAGAGGACCGGAAGACGCATCTGGCCGCCAGCATGGACGGGCTGGTAAAAATGGTCGAGATGTCTTTGGTGCTATCCGAGGAAGGAGGGGATCCTGCCCGTGTCGAAGAACTCGAGCAGGAGAAGGCGGCCCTGACCTCGAGCTCGCGGAAGTTGAAGATCGCTCTAGAACGCTCGGAGGAGATGTTCCGCGAGCAAACGGCGATGCTCGATGCTGAGAGGGAGATGCTGACCCTGGAGAAGGAGAAGTCGGGGAAGTTGGCCGAGGACGGAGCTTCTCCGGGCAGACATGGATCGTCTGGGGGCCGAAGTCGGACGCTTGGCCCAGCAGATCGAGGAAATGAACGCTGCCATGCAACCTGCCGAGGACGAGCCCGAGGACATATTGGCTTTGAAGAGTCGGTTGGAGCTTGTCGCCCATATCCGGCTCCTCGAGGCAGATTGCGTCGGTGCCCTGGAGGATGGGTTCAACTCCGCGGTCGGTCAGCTCTCCTTGCTAAACCCTGGTCTGGTTACTGAGGGTATCGGCCACACACATCAGATCGTGGATGGCGTGATCGTTCCTCCGCCCGACTCTCCCAGCGTCGACAATGATGGTTCCGGGGAGACCTGACTAGGATAGCGGGCATGCGTGCCCTTGACATTTGTATTCTTTGGGCCTGCGTGCCCGTTTGTTGTATGTTATGAACATCGCCGGCATTCTTGATCGGTTTATAATTGTTTTATCGCCTTCGGGCATTTTTATCTGAATGTTGCTTTACATTTTGGATGTTTTGCCCTTGTTTGAAATCTTATATATTTGCATGAATTTTTAGCCCAAGTCATGGGCCCGAGGCGTGCCCGTAAGCGGCTGTGATTTTGGCGAGCGAGTCTGCCCGTCTTCCGTTTGTCTATGTGCCCGGCCTTCTTTCGCTGGCCATAATCACCTAAGTGTTGTGCTCGAGGGGAGAGATTTCCTTTTGACCCTTTTAGATGGCCCGTCATTCTTGACGATTTGTCGGGCATTTGGAGCGAGGTTGCTCAGTCGGGCGCGAAGCCCGGTCGGCACTATTCGCCCTTGGCGTGAACTGCCCATCGCGAGCTGGGTGTTCTGCCTCATGGGTACAACGACGGTGGGGCTCAGTGTAGCTGTCCACGTCGGGCACTATCGATCGTCATCGTTTGCCGCGCGATGCTGTGCGATTTGGCCGTATGTCGGGCTTGTACCTTAGCCTTTATACGAAGTCGGACGTTTTTTCCTCGTTGACCGAGCGCGGGCGCCGTTGGTCGAGGGTCCCAGGTGTTGGTAGTTTCTAACTGTAGTACTGTTTTAGCTTAGCAGCGTTCCAGGGTCGTGGTAATGGCTCTC